AGCACCAGGTGGACCCCACACCCATATTTGGAGAAAGAAGACATAACTTTAATGCCAAATTGGATTTTCCTAAGTGACAAAAAGGTAATCACTCTCAAGACACTCAAGCCCATCAGCTGTCACCTGCTCTCTGCGTCTATCTTTGCACATGCACGCTGTCCGGCCATCAGCAACAGGAGTTTCCATGGATCCCCTCTTCGTCTCAAAGGCTAGGACAATGCCATCACTTTCTTTCTATCACTGTCCCCCTGGGCCCAACTGCAAATGCAGCTCCAAATACAGAAGCTATCATTACCGGCAAACCTCAAGGACAGTACTATCACATCCTGTATGCTCCACTTTGGCCACCCTCTCCACTCTGCCTGGACCATGATGGGTGACACAAGGTGGCAGAGTCCAGATCGCCACCAGGGGCTAAATGGTTCCCCATGGCAATGTGTGAAGCCTCAACCCAGGACAGCTGCCTCACCACTGAAGCACCCAGACCCATTCTACATGGAAAATATCAGTCAAATGTGACACTTCTGCCCTGCCCCGCACTATAGCTCAACCTGTACTGAGCTTCCCTCCCCTGCCCACCTTGAGCTGGGAACTCAAATATCCAGAACCACAAGAAAATAGCATCTGCTGCCGAAGTCACTGACCCTGGCCCTCTGTTACTTCAGCCCTGTAAAGCTGGCTTGATTATCCAAGACCACTAGCTCTGACTTTCATCTGTGTCAACACCTTCCTCTGCAGGAGCAGGCAAGTCCTGAGGGCCCCTGCTAAGAAGCCCCAGCATGCTCTGCGTGAGACTCCTATTCTGTAGGTCAGACTAGGTTGCTATGGACTCACAGGGGAGTCCAGCCTGGGATTCTAGTTCACCCTCCAGCCACAGCATCCTCCCTACTGAGATCCCAAATGTCACAGAGAGGGGACAGACACTCCCACAACACCTTGACACTGCACAGAACAACAGTTGCTGTTCCCCAAATGTATCCAGGAGATACTTGTTATGCAGTAGCAGGTTCTTCCTTAGTCCATTTGTGATGCTAAAACAAAACACTTGGAATATATAAAGAACTGAATATATAATATATAAAGAATAGTAATATATAAAGAACTGAAATGCATTTGCCATAGTGCTGGAGGCTGCATGTTCATAAAGTACCAGCCAAAAAGACTCCTTTAAGAAATTATCATTCAGCTTTTTGGCAGAGGTTCTCAGAGCTATTGATCTTGCATGCCAGATGTAACTGCTGATCCAATCTCAAAACTGCAGTAAAGAGAACTAAATGAGAAGCTTTGGAGTGAAGTATAAGACCATGCAAGAGAACAGAAGCCAACAGAAGAGAAAAATATTCAAAAAGAGAGCTACCTAAAACAGGAAAAAAATACAACACCTGTATAATTGGAGACCCTATTCAGAAAACAAAGAAAAAAGAGAATAATGGAACATAATGGTTATTTAAAACTATCACCCAAAATCTTCCCTGGATAGGGGAGACTGGAATTCACCTACTAATGAATGTGTCATTGAAAATTGATTGGATCTGAGACATATTCTAGGAAACCCATTTTACTGTGAAGATTTCTAAATTTAATTTCTAATCTTTCAAGCCTTCACACCAAAAAGGTCAAGTGGAAAAATAACCCGGCATTAGTCTCCTTGGAACAGTGAGGCAGAAGTGCAGTGCAAGGCAGCTTAGAAAACTCAGATACAGGTGGCGTGGAGCAGGAATTCCATGTCCAGCTCTTGTCTGGTCAAGAAGCCATGATGCAGGCACAGATCAAGAGTGTAGGCTCTGAACCCTGAACCCCAACTATGTGCTGAAGAGTTGTGTTTTAGATTAGAAGGAAAGGAAAGAATACAGAAAATAAGTTCCTTAATTACTAATTGCTTTATATGGAGTGCTGGAGATGTAGCTCTTTGTGGAGGCACTGAGTTAAATTTCTGGTACCATACATTAAAAAAAGAGCTCCTAACCGATTGTTTAGTATCAAAGAGAAAACAGAACAGGAAGAGGTGATGAATGCACAAACAGCACAGGGAGCAGAGCTGGCATGGTGGAGAAGCTGCACACACTTCTGTGAACTGTGCAGCCTGCGGGAGCTCACACAATGCGGCCCCGTTTCAGAAGCACTCGTGTTCTTTCATGACCATTGGTTTAATTGTCTCCGAGCAGCTTGCAAAGCAGTACACTGCCTGGTATTTCATCCTGGTCTCCGTTATTATCTCCCACTATAAATATCTGCTGCATAACAGATGCACTAAGTTTTGATTGGCTGCAGACTACACAGCTTCTGATGACACAGACGGGCTTCCACATCAAGTTTGCACCACATTTCTTAGCACTCACAGTGACTTTTTTAACTGCACAGTATGATTAGTGTGCACACATTCTGTAGAATTTGTGTTTGTTACATGAGATAATTCAAATGGGAAGAGTGATATAGATATAAGGGTGGCCGGGCAAGCATAAGGTTCTGAGTTCAATTCTGAATTCCACAAAAAAAGAATGTAAGTGTGAAGTCAAGAAATTTAATAACCACTGTTTCTTTCCAAAGCCCTACTTACAAGGCCACTTTTAGAAGTATATTTCATGTGATTCCAATCTTAACGTTTTAGATTGTTAACACTGAGGGGTAATACTTAGAAACTGATTTAATACTTACTTTTATATTTGTTTGCTGGAGAATATATATTTTCATATCATTTGACCTCTGTTTAAAAACCCCCAGACATCCCAGCTTAAAGGTATTGTCTTCTAAAAAGAGAGTTTAAAGCAGTAAACCTGTGGCATTTATTGTGAGTAATGCCTCAGTCAGTTTTGGGATCCGGGTACTGGTGATGCCTGGGTTGCCATGGAGACATGACTGAAGAGTCTGTGTCTGGTCTTCCTCTGTGGTGCTGTGCCCTGTTCCTCTTCCTGGTGCCATGACCTGAGCATCTTCACTCTGCCTCGCCTTTCCACATAAAATTCTTTGGAGCCAGTCAGGCATGGGCTGAACCCCTGGGAACATGATTCAAATTAAGCTGCGTCTCCTTTTAGTATTGGGGTATAGCATGCAGCAATGGAAGAGCAAATACATGTGAAGAGAAAATGCTGACACCCACAGTTGTGCCATAGACACCCTTAGGTCCCACCTGCTTGAGGTGGTACATGTGTCCATCTATTAACCACTGACATGCTGGCTTCTCTTCCTCCTCCTTTCAGCATCATGGGGTTTTCTCTCCTCCTTGACATTTTAGACACACACTAAGGATGTCTCCTGTGCCCTTGGTATCAACCAAGCCAGCTGTCAGTTCTCTTCTCCCTGCCCTCCTTGCCCTCCCTGCTCTCCCTGCCCAGCCTGTGCCAGCTGCTCACAGAGCCCAGGACAGCTCACTGATTCAGGTCCACAGGTTGTCAGCACTGCTCAAGACACAATGCCCCTCTCTGTCTCTCTGTCTTTCTGCCTCTCTCTCATTCTCTGTCTTTCTCTGTGTGTCTCTGTTTCTCTCTCTCTCTCTCTCTCTCTCTCTCTCTCTCTCTCACACACACACACACACACACACACACACAGAGGCATGCACACACACACATGCACACACATGCACCCCTGTCTCATGCCTCATCCCATCTCAACTCCCATCCCAGAACTTGGGCCCCCTCATCCTATGGCTTCTTGCCCATAATGAACTCCAGTCTGATGTTTCCTGTGCGTGTGTCTGTCCCTAAGAGAGGGATGCACCCATTCTCCTCTCCTTTCTGATGTCTGCAAGGGTGAGTCCTGGTGCAGAGTGGACCCTGGAACATGTGCTGCTCCCTGCTCAGCACACAGAGTTCCACCAGAATCAGCCCACAACTTTGCCCGTTTCCTGAACCCTCCTGTATGCCAGGTGGCCTCTTGTGGGGACTCTGCAGACAGGAGGAGGAGAGAGCCTTCCAGCTGCAGACACCGCCCTCCGGGGAAGGACAGACAGGGAAGTGAGTGCAGATTTAACCTGCATTAAAAAAATTCCAAGAAAGTGTACAGAGGTCTACATTTATATCTCCTTAGTAAGAACCAGGTAAAACAGTTACCCCTGGGTAAGAAGGAAGCCAGGAAATGGGGATGTGTTGTGGGAACATGTTAGACTTGAATAAAAATGAGTTTCCATAGTTAAAGTGTGAAGGGGAAATTACTGCAAGAAAGGTAAATAACGTGTCTTCCCAAAGTTCTGAAACACCCAGGGTCAAATCTACACCACACAGCAAACAGCACAGGACAAACAGGGCTGCCTTGGAGGGGCTGAGCGGTGGCAGGGAAGGATACTGCAGTGATTTCCCACACATGGCCAGTCCATGACAATAATGGGGTTACTGGTGGTCTGCCGCAGTGAGCGAGCTCCAGGACCCTTGCTGGATGCTGACAAGCTGGGGAAGCCGGCCTGCTCTCAGCCTCAACCCCAGGAACCCAGGGCCATGGCCCCACAGCTGCATCTTAGCGCACTCGGACTAGGATTGCTTATTTGCAGTGTTAAAACATAAGCTAGGATGACAGCCTCCCTGACAGAGCTTTCACGGCTTCAGTGGGCAGATTGTTGAGCAGCTCTGCCTTCACCTGTTTGAACATTTCCAACAACCACTTAAAATACACACCAGGACAGGAGGCTTGAAGTCAGCCTGAAAGCCTTTATCTGCAAAAGGGCACACACCACCAGAAAGACACACACACGCACACACTCACAGAGGCACACACACAGGTGCGCGTGCACACACATGCATGCACACACATATGCACACACACAGGCATGTGCACACACATGTACAGACACACACATGCATACACACACGCCCACCGCCCCGTCCTGCTGCAGCAGGGTGATGGTAAAGAAAAGCTTATCAGACTCACAAGGTTACATGAGGAAACAGCCAGAAACTCTCATTTACTAGGTGTCCCTTCTGGTAAAAATAGGTTAAATCTTAACTCCTGGTATTTGCTCTTTTTGAATTCCATGTAAAATTTTCACCAAACAAGCTGAATCATTAGAGCAGCTCAGATTCCAGACACCTCGTAAACACCTGAACAGGCCCCAGGGGACAGCAGCCTCTGATTGCACCGAGGCCAGCAGGACAGCTGGGGGGCACCAGTGACCTTGCCGACGTGCAGAAATCTGCCTCTTCTGTGTCACATGAAGGCAGCTGCTGAGGATCCTCCAGAGCCCAAGGAGCAAGGTATAGGGACCTGGTGTCCACCCAGCCTGGGGAGCCATGGCCTCTCACTCAGAGACCCAGAGCTGCACACGGCCCTGGGAATCACCAGGAGCCCGGTGCCTCACAGAATACAGGATACATTCACCTCTGAATTGCACATACATTACCCAATTTGGGACTTCTATCTCATTTTTATTGTCTTTTGCCACAAAAACTGTTTAGTTTGAGTGCAGCAAACATCAGTGTATCATTGTGTGTCCTCCTTTTCCATCTGTACTTCTGTAAGTGTCTCTTTAATCAGTGTAAACCAGTGACCCCTGAAGTCTTTGTTTGTTTGACTTTCCACTTCCTCAAAACTTCAAACTGACTTTTTAAAATTTCTTGTCTTCCCTCATCTGTTAAATCCAAAATCCTGTGTCGAAGAGCCTACCTGACATTTATTTTACTATCTAAAAATATCAAAGATTCTGGATACTTAAGCTCAACAAACCCATGTCCTTTCATAGCTAGAGATAAGCAGAACATTCTGAAATAATCCTTATATAAGCTGGCAATACCTTTTAACATTTAAAACTCTTGCAGCTATCCACACACACCCCAAAAAACCTGCTTTTGAATAGTTAGAAGCCCAATTAAGATTGAAGAACATTAGAATCTCAGTTATTGTTCTACTTATTTTTTAAATCATGCCAATTTAAAATTCAAACAGTGTTTTTCATCGAGTTTATATTAGTGATAACAAATACTTGCTAGCATTTCCCTGAGCCTCTGAGGAGATCTGAACTGAACAACAGATTAGAACAACAGGAACTTCCAAAGGAGACATTTGGAAGTCCTGCAATGTTCACAATGCCTAAGTTTTATTGGTCTTATTCTCCACTGTTTTGTCCAACTTTATAATATCTAATGAGATAGACAATTCCTTTTAAGGAAACAAGAGACAATGTTGATAACCATTGTTGATGACCTTGTACTCTGTTCTACATCATGTGCTATGTCTATCCTTGGTTTGGACTTACAGCTTTGTTTTGCCATATTTGACTTTATTATCTCCCCCCCAAGAGAGTAATGAGAACTGAGGAGTAATAAAATCCAAAATGTGTAAATTTTGTTATAAAAAAGAGAGGGAGGGAAAAAAAAAAAGAGCTCTAACGGATATAACAACAAGTGTGTTTAGGGATGTTAAATAGCTGACTATATTAATGTTTTTGGATCATTGAACACAGCTGTTTGCAGTCTCTCCGTTTGAATGTCTACTTTGTATTCTTTGATACTGTGATTTGAGCAACTATTTCCAAGATGATATTATGTAATCTATTAACAGGTGATTTCTTACTGTTATGTTTATTTTTTTTTTTTGTAGTTCTGTATTATGTGTAACCTTACACTGCTTTGTCTTGTTTTGTGTTTTTCTCTTTTTCCTCTTAAATAAAAAAAAAAAAAAAAAAAAAAAAAAAAAAAAAGAACAACAGGAACTTTGAGCACTTCACAGCAAACGATAGATAAAGCAGAAAGAAGATAGTTGTTTTCTGAAGACCGGGAGTTAACCACCTGGGTCCATCTCCCAACCTCCCCAGTAAAAGGGAAAGCAATTCCCTGCCTCATTCTTCTTACAAATAAAAAGAGAAACCAGGCAAAGCTTTCTTCTAATTCCCAGATTTCCTTCCCTTGTAACTTGGAAAATACGCCACAGACTTAATATTTGGGTTTCATTAGAAAGACCTTCCTTTGTTTGGTCCCAGTGCTCGCTTTTACAAACGATCTTGAGATATATGCACTGCTAAAGTTTCACAGTATACAACAACAGAGGAAATTTCTGTGGGAAAGAGTCTTTCTGAGTTCATTTCCAATAGAAAAAGAATGGTTTATTCATGTGTTGGTGGGTTGAGTTGCTGGGGGCCATGAAGCCAGGCTCATCCATGACCTCAGAAAGACCACCAGGAACACTGTGACCAGTGTCTCCATTTGGGGTTCAAAGCACTGCAACACACCCTCAGCCACCATTCCTCCTGGTAGACAGGGTGCCTGTGCGTGGGGTCTGCTCTGCTGTGTGGCCCCCTTTGACAGCGCCTTCTAGCCAATTCCAGCCAAGAATTGCTTGCCCCAGGGTTTCTCTCTCCATAGACAGCACATTGGCAGGCAACGTGTGGATGCTGCGTGGAGGCTGCTTGGGGTCCCCAGCAAGGCAGGGGCCTCTCGGCACTACACAGTGGCCTACGTCAAGCCTTGGGGGTAATGTCTTGGGGGTGATTCTCCCACAGCCGTGGCATGGGCTGGCTTTCTCCATGCTGGGCACTGCCACTCCTCAACATATGTAACACCACCTTCCTTCAGGTCTCCAAAGCTCAAGTGTGAACCGGATGATCTACCAGGCTTTGTGAATCCAGCCATGTCCCCTGCAGCCTTACACTGGAATGCTCCCCATGTGGAGCAAAGGTAAATCTCCACGGGTTTCTCTCACACCTACAGTTGTCTCTAAAATCCTCACTCACCGGTGTGGCCCTTGAGAGCTCTGTCACCTGCGACAGGCAGAAGGAAATGTGTTGCTTCCTCACTAACAGTCACATTCACCAAAGCGTGTGCCTGCAGTGAAAAAGGCAAAGTGACACAGAGAAATGTACAAGATCCCTCTGCAATGGTGGACCGTGAGGCATCTCCTCAATATAACAGGAAGGGACAAATTCTGCTCACCACAAGTAGCATTTGGGAGAACTCAAGCGATAACAGTTCTGCTGTGATAGAAACTGATGTAGAATAATGGTCTGGATTTTGTCAGTTTGCAAATCAGGCAGATGGTTAGGCTGGGCTCCTGTGACGCAGCCAGGGATGAAGCAATCCAGGCCCCAGAGCCTGGCGTTTGGAGTGGAAAGCAGGCTCACTGCCCTGGGCAGCCAATCCCCCGCAGTGAGCAGTGGGGATGGATCTCAGAACCGGCCGATTGCTGCACTAGAGGGGCTCCCCGCTGCCAGCTGCGTGCCCATCCCTGACCCATGTGTTAATCCAGTCCACCCAACAGGCTCGGAAACATGTTAGGAAGCACTTTCTAAAGAGATGGAGTCAAGGGAGGCAACATCAGTTACCTCAGCAGCCTCAGCAAGGTGGCTGAGCGGTCTCCAAAACTCAGGTTCCTTCAAGTTAAATAGGTAACACTGGTTTTCAAGCAAGACAAATCTAATAAGCAAATTAATTTAAAGTTTCACACCAAGGTCTATTTTCCTAGATAAAAGTAAGATGAGGTCCTTTTGTACCCATCCATCAGAGCCAGGTTTCTTAAATTTACAATTTTGTTTCTTTAATTTAATATTAAAGGCTGCTTTCATCTGCAGGAATATTTGGAATGACTTTCTATTGATCACCTTGCTCCAGTTCCAAGACAATAAAAGTCCTCATCTTGAAATCGCTCCCTTGTTGTCTGGCCTGACTGTCCTAGGGGATGGGACCAAGGTGATCCCTGCCACAAGACCACGCTGTCAGGGTGCAGTGCAGGGGACACCCAGCAAAACATGCCTTGAGTTGAGTTGTGCAGTCCACATCCTCACCGCTGGTGTCTGAGTCATGACCATAGTGGGAGGAGAAGGTGGGCAGCTAACGATGGCTTTTCACAGACGAACAGGGCCTAGTCTCGGTCAAAGTCGCCCTAGATGCTTTTCTTTATGGGTGACCACCGAGCTGGGCTCTGACACTTGGGGGGGAAGATAGAGGAGTGTCCATGCAATGAACTCTCAGGCATTAACTTCACCTGAGGACTTCATACTAAAAACAAACAAAACACACGCAAACTTGGTCTTCCAGCTCCCTCCACAGGAAGTGCCAAGTCATTGGGGAGTCACACAGGTTACAAGGAGCCCCTGTGGCAGCACAAGACCTAAAGCTGCCTGCCTGTTGAGCTCCCCTTCCTTTCTTCCTCTGTCCCTCACCCAGCCCCTACCCCTTCCCCTTCCTCATGTCCTGTTCTTCTCCATTCTGCCTCCCTTTGTCTGTCTGCATCTCTCCCCCGCCCATCTGCTCTGTATCCAGCCAAAGGATGCAGCTGTTAGAGCTCGTGGCATCAGGTGAGAGTGAACTGTCCAGCTTGAAATAAGCCCAAGACAAAAGATGAGCCTATGCTGCTTCTGTAGCTTTTGTTCTGTTCTGATTTTAATGTTCTCCGTGAGGTAGTTGGATTCAGAAAGAGAGATGGTCAGGGAGGGAGGGTCTTTCCTTCCATACAGCCTGGTCAGTCAGCATCACATCCGTCTTGGGGGAGGCAGAGTGGGGCCAATCTACCCTGAGCTGGAAAGCGCTCCCCTCCCTGCCACCAGGCGTCCCTGATGCCCACTTTCATGCCCAGCTTCCCCAGACAGAGAGCTGGTTCAGCTTGGTTTTCCCCCCTCGGAAGCATTTCTCAGTCCTAAGGTCTTGAAAAGTCTGTGAGAGCCGGAAAGGGGATGCAAGGTTTGCAGCAGAGCAGCTGAGCACAGTGCATGGCACCACCTATTTTCAGGTCACGTTGTGGAAAATCATAGGGAGCTGCAGCAGCAGCCGTGCAGACTGTGTGCTGCCAGCCCTGCCCCTGTCCTCTGCAGTGGCTGCCTATTCAAGCCACTATGTGGACAGTGCCTCCCCCATCTCTGCGCAGGGGGCACGGCAAGTGACAGACTCAGAGCTGACAAGGGAGATCACTGCACAGGGCAGCCACCCAATGGCATCCAGCAGCGAATGAGAGCGCAGAAGGGAAGACAAGGACAGTGAGGCACAGGACAATCAGCTTCACCCTTCCTGTCGGTGCTGGGGACATCCCAGTTACACAGTGCTGGGCCCGTCACTTTCAGAGAGCAAGATCACTGCAAGGAGGGCAAGCACAGCAGGTCAGCCTGCTCTTCTCCTTCCTCAGACAGACAAGCCCTGCACTGCGACTCAGGGGAACTCAGTGCCCCCTGAAGACCCAGTTCCAGAGCTTACACAGCTCTCACTTGCTGCCCGCCAACACGGTCAGCAGCCCATGAGAAAGTGTGAGACAAAACAGTGACCAGGCTGGGCAACCCAGGTCCACAGGGGGCTCCTGACTGCTACAGACAGGAAGTGTGCCAGTCTTTCACACACAGTTCTCCAGAGAGTGGGAGAGCTGTGGCACACAGGGAGGCGCCCTAGAGGGGTGCACCTGGCATGGGACTTAGGAGCCTGGCTGCTGAGAGCCCTGCAGGTGGGGCTGTGGTGATGCCCAGCCCTGGGGCAGAGAGTGAGGCCTTGGGCAGACTGCAGGGCAGCTGCTCGTTTCAGCAGAAATTTGATTGCTCAGAAGAAGGAAGTCCATGCCTGGGACACAGTGTAAGAAAAATGTGCCTTCACCCCAGTTGGCTCCTTGGACCCAGGGCCTTGCCCATGTAGGCAAGGGCTCTGCCCCCAAGTCCTCCCACATGCCGTCAGACTGTGTCCAACTCGAGTGTGCCCAGGGTCTCTCAGCCACCCACAGCTACGGCTACCATCACCACCCCATGCTCATGGCACTGCATAGGTCCTGGGGACTTTTGCAAGGGTGCCCCACAGCAGCTGGAGCAGGAGGTCCCAGAGGTGAGACCCACATGCCCCATGCCTCAGAACTGCAGGGCACACGGTGACTTATGCGTGCGCATAGCTTAAGACGTCCTAGTAGTTACATTCCCAGGTAGTCACAGCCAGCAAGCATAGTCTGAACAATGCTGACTGAGCAGAGGAGCCCAGGACAGGTCATCTCACTGTGAAACCATTTCATTTGGCAAAACACCCCAGCTCCAGTTCACTTCTCAGTGTGAGGGAGGGAGGCCAGGGTCACATTTTCTGGAATAAATGCTCTGCCCACTGGGGTGAAAGACAGAGAGGAAGAGACGTCCATGGTGTGTGTGAGAGGGCACATGCAAGACTCACCAGGACATAGAAATAAAAAAGAAAAAGTTAGACATCACTGCTTTTGACAAAGTCTACTGTTTAAAAGAACACCTTTAAATTGAAAAAGAGAGAGAGAAACAGAAACATGTTAACTTTTAAATACAAGAGACATAAGGATAAATTGATCAAGGCTGAGTAAGTAGGCAGATGACGGTGAGTCATAGATGGTATAGATGACAGGTAGACAGGCAGAGCTACACACATGTACCACATTGTCATCTACTTGCCCTCTGGGCATTTTCCTGGGTAGCAGATACACAGGGACAGACATGGATACTGGTAGAGTGAACAGCACGGGGAAAGCTCCGTGGGAACAGGGCCGCGCCACAGCTGGGGTGACAACCTATCCAACATACAGAGAGGGGCACTGGAGACCCACCCACACCCTCAAGCTGAGGCCTGGCAGACAGGAACATGAGGATCATGGGACCTGTAACAGGAAGTAGGGGCCGGGATCACTCATGCCTCACAGAGGAACAGCATGGTCCCGGACAGTGGTGTCAGGGTGGGGGAGAAGCAGAGAGAATTCAGCAGCTCAGAGGTCCCACAGCTGTGCCCCATGCAACAGGCCATAGGACGGGCCGAGTAGAAGAGCACGGTGGGACCTCAGCATGCTCAAGGAACTCTGTCTCCCAAGGCTCACTGTAACCGAGTTGTCTTGTGCAGATCAAATCCGAGAAGACACATCGCCCAACTCCAAGGACTCCCAGGCACAGCAGCTGACAAACTCAGTTGAGCAGCTGCTGCAAAGCACTCCTCTTACACAAAGTGTGACAATTCACTGGTCACTACAGCACTGAGGTGATGCCCAGTGAGTCTCATACATAGAAGGACAGGATTCATGAAGAATGGGAAAAATGACACAGTGGTTCAACTGAATTGTCCACTTCAGGGACAGTCAAAGAGGAGGAACCTACACCTTGTGAGGCCTTTATGAATTCAGAAAAATACTAATTTAATTAAAAGGGATAGATAGATGATGGATAGACAGATAGGCAGACAGACACACAGACCAACGATAGATAATGAATGGGAAATGTTAGCCAGTGAAACTTGGAAAAGAGGTAAAGAATACAAAGAAGTAGATATGGAAGTTGAAGCTGGAAAGGATCTTTGGTGAAAATTATAACCATGTCAAATATAAAGATCTAATCTTTAGTACTGCAAATTTTAAAATATACCTATACCAGCTATGATCATAAAATATGGTGGATGCTTACACTCAAAACCTCATTTCAGTAAAAGACACATTGCCATTCAACCCCTTGAAGCTGGAAAACTCTTCCCATCCTTCTCACCACTTTCTGCAGCAGTTCCGGAGTCCTCTTTCTTGAGTGTCTTTAGTCGTGTCGCCCATGGCTCCCTCAGTGTCCTGAATCCATTCAAAATGTTTTCAGAAATTTCTGCCAAAACCAAACATGACAGTGAGTGTTTATCCACCTTTTCACCAGATCTGGCACTGGGTGGCTCTGGCTCTGCTGCAAAGTCCACACGACCTTGAAAAGGAGACATTTTGAATCCCACTCAGGAAAGAGGCCTCTGGAGCTGCTGCAGAAAGTGATAGGAACCACAGAAAAAGTGCTAGAAATGAGGGATGGGTATTTGAGGGACTTTCATAGCAATGTGCAGTTTACTGTAATAATTCTCTTGAAATTCAAACCCTCCCTATGTTCTTTGATCTCACCCTCACGTTGTCCTATTGTATCCTCAAAGCCAGTCTGAATTTTCCCTGCATGATGGGGTCTGAGTGTCTCTGTCCCCCAAGTTCCTGTACCAAGCTCTAACCCCAGATGAGGGATTTGGTGGCTGATGAGCTGGTGCAGGTCCTAAGTGGGATATGAGTCCTCAAGAAAGGCCCAGAGGTTGGCCTGCCCTCCTCCACATGAGGCACACCAAGAAGATGCCCTCTCTGGCCTTCATAGGCCCTGGCAGTGGACCCCAGCTCTGGGAAGGAGAGAGGTGAGTCTCTGCTGGTCCCGCGCCCCATAGTTGTATGTAGCCTTGTATCACAGTGTCTGAGCCACAATGGCAGTGTGCGATCCCCAGGTTATTTTTCTGTTTTTAAAACCTGATGAGAGAGAGAAAGGACTTTATAACCCATATGCATATGTGTGTTTATATGCTGTAGTCTACATATGCATCTATAATTCTAATTTCAGAAAACGAATCCCGCCCCCCAGTAAAATCCTCTGGGGTGACAGCAGGAAAGGCACCTAGGCTCAGTCCTGGAATTGCAGGGCCAGGCTCCCACCCTGTGGAGCGGTCCTGGACAGCACTGGCAGAGCCATGGCTAGGAGGGGCCCCCTTGAGGCAGACAGCCTCCACCATGTGGCGGGAGGCAACATGTGGTGATCCTCGGGTCGCATGAAGTTCTGACGGAAGGTTATGATCATGGCACAGTTCCTGCACACCGGGGGGGGGGGGGGGGGCAGAAAGGCCCATGTGGAGAACCAGACCTAGATAACATAGCTCATTGTTCCAAACTGATGTGCGTGCCTACGCACATGTGTCCCTGTGCATGTGTCCCTGTGCGTGTGTCCCTGGTTGCTCCACAACACTGAAACCAAAACTCTCCTACATGCGTCCCTCCCCCACCCATCCTGGAAAGGTCGCAGGAGGCCCATTGGCCTCCCACCCGCTGACAGCCTGTTTGTCCCCCAAGCTGTCCAGCCCTCCTTCCCAGGAAGCCTGGCTAGTGTCCTTCTGCCTGCTCCTCAGCCTCCAACGCACCTCTACTGGTCCAAGCGTGACCATGTGGCTCCTCTGAGCACAAGACCTGATGGCAATAACACAAAGCAGCTTCAAACTCTGTGTCCACTGCACACGCCCCTCACCCTGCTGTCCTCTCACAGGACACATGCATGGTCAGCTGCATGTGCAGGAGATGGACAGATGGACAAACAGCACGGTGGAAAGGCATGCACACAGAGCAGCTG